TCTAATATGTTTTAATTATACTAACTCTGTAAAACCTTGAAATACCAGTTAAGGCAAGAACTCATCCACTTATCTTTGTTTAATTTTAATTGTTTGAACTATTCTTGCCTGTTTTTATTTCCAAATAAATTTTAGAATTGCTTTGTTATGTTTTCCCCAAAATCCCATTGAGATAGTGTCACAAATTGAATTGTGTCCCCTCAAAATGTGTGCCAACTTGGCTAGGCCACAATTCCCAGTATTGTGTGGTTTTCCTCCATTTTGTGATCTGATGTAATTATCCTCCATTTTCTGATGTGTTGTAAATTCTAGCCTCTATGCCTGTGGTTGGAATCCTGGTGGCACAATGGTTAAGAGCTTGGCTGCTAATCAAAAGGTTGGAAGTTTGAATCTACCAGCCACTCCCTGGAAATACTATGGGGCAATTCTATTCTGTCCTATAGGGTTACTATGAGTTAGAACTGACTTGACAGCAATGAGTTTGGCTTTGGTTTATGCGTGTGGTTATAATCCCATTTGTGAATGGGTTGTGTTTGTTACGTTAATGAGACAGGATTAGGTTATGTTAATGAGGATTAGTTATGTTTTTATATTAATGAGGCAGGATTATGGTGTATTTTGAGTCAATCTCTTTTGAGATATAAAAGAGATTAAACAGTCAAACGAGAGAGCAGAGACAGGAGGATTGTTGCCAAGCCACATGAAGATCGCCTAGGAGCAAAAGCTCAGAGAGACAAGGACCTTCCTCCAGAGCTGACAGAGAGAAAGACTTCCCCTAGAGCTGGTGCCCTGAATTCAGACTTCCTACTCACCTAAGCTGTGAAAGAATAAATTTCTGTTTGTTAAAGCCATCCAATTGTGGTATTTCTGTCACAGCAGCATGAGATAACTAAGACAGAATTATCATTGGGATTTCATAATACCCGAAATATTATTTGATAATAAGTAGCATCTATGTAATTTAGACTTTCCACCCAGTAACATGGAAGATAAAGTTCTCCATTTTTTTTTCATTTCTTATGTATTTTACATACAGTTTTCTTTAAAAGTACCTACATATTTCATGTCAGGTTATTCTTATTCCAGATTGATTTTACTTGCTTGCTTGCTAGTTTGTTTGATATATAATGTTTCTTTTTTACGTATGTTATCTAACACATTTTCATTAGTGTGTTTGTTTAATTTAGTTGTATATTATTTTTATGTAGTTATTTTACCTAGTTTTCAATTCCAGTTATTATACAGCTGGTTCAATTTTTAAGAAATATACAATCATGTTGTTTATACATAATAATGGCTCATACTCTTGTGTTCTCAGAATTATACATCATAAAAAGCTACTCTCTGATTGTACTTTCCATATATTCACAAATAATATTACACTTAGTCACATCATCCATTGTTTTCTATTTCCTGAATACTATACAGCAATAAAAAAGATTAAATGATAGGTAGACAAAATGAACTATGTTGCCACTTAATAACATAATATTAAAGTGAGAAAAGGCAAAAAAGAGTAATTTTTTAAACAGATACATACAAATGTGTTTAAACTACAAAGAGCAATAAGCAGAACATTCAGGATGATAGTTCTCTCTGGGGGAGGCATGGGGAGAGTGAGGCTTCAAGAGTCCTGGTTGTGTTCTGTCTCTTAAGCCAGGTGAGTGATCCATATAGTAAGTACATATAGTTTACAAATAACTGTTAGTATGTAGCATATATTTTATGATACATTAAAAAACATATCTTAAACAAATAACCACTAACATCTTATCTGATAGTAATAGATGAACAAAAGCATCCCATGAAATTCTGCCTGGTAAATTTTAATAGTCTCTTTTTCCTTCATCTATATTTATTTTTTCTGCTAACTCAACTCAACAGTTGTTTTCTTAATGTGTTTCATAATGGTGTATGTGTGTATTTTTCTAGTTTAGCCCTGCGGGAGCCTTGAGTTTATACGTGGTTCTCCGATATGACCTCTTAACTTGTGCAGACCTATGATTTGTCTTTGTTCCATAAAATCAATGTGCCATACTCTAGTCTAGCTAATCAGAATTTGGCAGTTAGGTCCAGGAAAGACACTAGTTTAAGCATTGGCTGACCTCCCTAGAACTGCATTTTCTTGTCGCTTCTGATCTCCAAGGACTTTACTTTTACTAGCAAAACCATTTTTTCTCTCACTCTCTCTCTCCATCCATCCATCCGTCCATCCATTTGTTTTTAATTTTATCCTGCATTGTGAAGTGTTTTGAAAAGAGGTGTTCTTTGACTATCTGGTTCACAATACTTCCAGAAACAAAAATTACAATAGTCATTGTTTATTGCATGAAGTACTTCTATGTTAAGTCTCAATTTCTGGAGATTTTTACAACAGAAATAAATGTTAAATTTGTTGAATAATTTTGCAACCTTCGTTGAAATTTTCAGATTTTTTTCCATTTGATCCATGCATCCATAAGTCAAATGATATGTTGAAAAATGTATTGATTAATATTAAACAATATTTATATTACCAGAATAAATTCTACTTGGTCATCATGGAAGGCACTTTCAATGTACTTTGGAATTCAGTTGGTGTTTATTTTATTTAGGATTTTCTTATCTGGAATTATAAGTTAAATTGATATGACTCTGATACTTGTTACCTCTGCTACCTTGGCAAGCAACTTAATTTGTCTGTGCCGTGGTCTTTTCATGGGTAAAATGGGAAAAAATAATAGCCCTACTTCATAGACATGTTTTTAATATTAGCTGTGTTAATACACTTCTGGTATGCAATGCCAATGTAACACCTAGCACAACATAAGTATTGTGCTATAAGTGTTAGCTATTATTATGTTTATTTTGGGTTACCTTTAAAAGATTATGATATCAGATTTCTACTAGATTGTAAACTGAATTACATAGCTCTCCATTTTTTATATATCCCATAGAAGTTTCAAACTTTGAATACACTCTGTAAAAATTAACTGGTATTAAACATTTTTTTCTGATAATTCTTTGCTAATTTTTCCTCTTTTAAATACACATTATCTTTGTTTAAGGTCTCCTTATTTGGTTACTTTTTTTGATTTTTTGTTCAAATCTTTGTGTACATGTTCATTTTTTGGTCATTTTTATTTTTTATAATTTCATGAATTAACCTTTAATTCACACATATATGTATAATCAAGAAGTATTTAAGCATATAAGCTTGCTTTTGACTACACGGTTTTCATATCCAATAAACTTTGGTAAATTCCATTCTGACTGCTGGTATTTCAATTTAGAAAACTAATCTGCAGCTGATGTCTTGATTTCCTCTTTTCCCCATCAGTTATTAAGAAGAGATGCTTTTTATTAATTTTAGGATAGTTGGATATTTTAATAAAATTTATTATAATGTTTGATATTGATAATTTTTTTATTCCTAATTTTGTGACATTTAATAAAAATCTAGAAGTAGTGATTTATGTTAAGAGAATAAGCCTTAGATAATTTCTGCTTTGAGAAATTGAACATTTTGGTGGAGTAGTCAATGAAAAGCTACTGTAAATACTTATGTTTATATAGGATATAATGTATAATTCAATTTTGCTAGATGATTCAAATTTCTGCCTTTTTTCTAATTTATCTGTAAATATTTTGAGTGATCAATTACTGTCATCCTCAATCACTGATTTTTGGATAATATTTCTTTCATTTCCAATATTTTTTGTTGGCTATATATTTTTATAATTGTAATTTGTACTTATTTAGAGTATAAAGATAATAATTATTATGAGTTTTTTTTATTATACCTTTATCAGTATACAACGACAGCTTATCCTGAGTCCACATTCTGCTGTGGTTTAAATTAATAATACTGCATCTATTTTTCCTTTCTATGTGCTTTCCAGATTTGTATTTACCAGTTCTTTTATTTTAATACTTTTAGTTATTTCGTGTATCTCTTGCAAATACTGCATGTTCCTGTTTTGAGTAGCAACAGTATGACTGTTTATCATTTTTATATATGTTTAGTATGTATGCTTGACAGTATTTCTGTCATTTTGTTTTATGCTTTCTGAACATAATGTTTTTGCTTTTTACCTGCTCTTTTCCTTTGCTGAGTGGCTTATATTTGATTGATTTGTTCTTATCTTTTTCCAGATTAAAAAACAAACAAACAAACCTTGTTGCCATTGAGTCGATTCTGACTCATAGTGACCCTATAGGACAGAGTAGAACTGCCCCATAAAGTTTCCAGTGAGCAGCTGGTGGATTCAAACTGTGGGCTTTTTGGTTAGCAGCCATAGCTCTTAACTACTGTGCCACCAGAGCTCCTTTTCCAGATTAGGAGGCCAATAATTTGAATTCATTCCTGCTGCATTTAATTACTGTTTTTCTAATTATCAAAGACAAGAATAAAAATTGGTTTTTGCATTTCTCTATTAAAAAAAAAAAAAGTGCATTGCTTTCATTTCCATCCACTATTTCTTCTTACCCCCAAAATATATCCATCCTCACAAACACCCTTCATCTTTTCTTTAGCAATATTGCCAGTGATGTAGTACTTAGATTATCATTGTTAAATTGTTGTCTTAATACATTTTCACTCTCAATGCTCTTTTCCATCTTTTAATCTAGTGGGACAGGCTTATTTCATGAGCCTCCACATACGCATAGGTTACTGCTTATTCTTTTCAATCCAGTGTCATCGGTGTTAAAGTTTATGGAATTTCTTCCTTGATCTTTGATACAATTTTTTGTAGCCTTAGTTTTGGTAAGATTTTATCTTTCCTTTTTCCCTTTTAATATTTTTAAAGGTGCTTAGAAGATGCTATGTTAGCAAATGGTAGCCAACTTCTAATTAAGCCCTATTCTTTTTCAGTTTTAACTTTTGTTTACTGATGTGCATCTTAAATCTAATTTTTATGGCAAAATAGATTTTTAAAAGTTATTTTTATTAAACTTTTTAGGAACTAAATCATGTATTTGTTTTTAAAAATCTTGGTATGTGACTCATCTTTCCTTAGGTCTGGCACCTGGATCCTGTCATTGCAAAAATGGCTTTGGAGGGGTGAGCTGTGATCGGTGTGCCAGGGGTTACATTGGCTACCCCAATTGCCAGTCCTGCAACTGCAGTGGCATAGGAAGCAGAAATGAGGACCCTTGTTTTGGACCCTGTAATTGCAAGGTACATTGTTTATTCCAGTAATGTCCTACTGCCACGACAGAAGGTCATTTTCCCTGGCTTCTCTGTTATGTTTGCTGGCATTAAGCAATTGTAATGACTTCGGTACATATTCACTATCGACGTGGCACTCCCCTAAGTGTCTTTTAAATGGCTACCAGGTTCATTGCAGCAAGAAATTTATAAGTTACCTGCCATTTGTCTAAACACCTACAAATACATAGAAGAGAAGTCAGCTTTAGAGTCTCTTATTTTATAGCAGTAACATTTTTCTCATTACTATTCAAGACTATTAAATTATAAACATATGGCACTAAATATAGCAACACTTTAAAACTACAATATACTAAATCTGCTATAGCATTGCATCTCATCCTGACAATATTTATGTCAAGATTCTTGTTCTGGATTTTTAAATAATCTGATATTTGAGACTAGGTAGGTCTTAAAATACTCACCATAATCAAACTTTCCTGTTTAATTACCGAAAATGTAAAAAGCCCCAGTGGAATTGATTCAAGGCTCAATATTTCCTCCCAAGAGTACTTTTAGATATTCAACTTTGTTGTACACACTCAACTAATAGCTCATCGTGTTAACAGCAGGAGATGCATTATACCTGCGGCTTATACACATAGAGGAAACACAGAAACATTTTTAAGTGCTAAGACTGACCTCCTTTTGCTGTGGTAAATCAGTTCCATAAGATTCTGATCAAACAATGTGTAGCTAAATTTACTGAGAGAATAAACAATATATTGAAGAAGCTAGCATGCCATACTGATGTAGAAATGAATGTTATTTCTTTTTTTTTTCTTTGTTCTCAGTGGTGGATGGGATCTTATTAAGAGTGTTTCCATTATTAATTTTTTAATCTTAGCTAGATGGCTATAAAATATTACATGCTTATAGTTGTTACATGTGTGTATAGACAAACATTAAGCCATAACAAATCATAAATATTGGTATTATGGTTAAATGTATATTTATTGGAATAAGAATATCTGAAATAGCAAGCTAAATATTATTATAGTTCTATAATAGGGATATGCTCTATCAGGAGAAATTTAGGAACCTACCTTACAGTATTGAAAAATATAAAACTTTCATCTAAACAAACAGACATAAAGTCTGCAACCCCTTGGTAAATAGTTGTTGTATGCTGGAATGTAGTACATTTCTAGATCTAGTACATTTTGTTCTGATACTAGTTGAAAAGAAGAAAATTGCTCTACTTGACCAAGTCTTTTTAGCACTCTGTCATTGCCTGTTTAAGGACAACTCCCCTTCTTCATCCTGTATGTCTTTTTGGGCAATTCTACAGGCTCTTAGTACATCTTCTCTAATGTTTACTAAAACATACGTTGTGTGTGTTTTATTCTTTCTCTAAAACTCCATAGAAATCTCTAACTTTTACCATTTGATCAAATAAAAGACAGGCAAACCTAAGCTTAAAATAGAAGAGAAACTTCTCGAATATCTAGAATATAGGAAATCAAACTGGGAGAAAAAAGTTTTTATACATGTACCATTCACAGAACACAGATGCCTGGTATATGCAAGGAAAGAGTAACACATCAGTGAGAGGCAGGTCTTATTTTGTTCATTTTCACTGGTAAATATAGCAAGAAAGGCTAGAACAAGAGTGCTTCAGCCATCAACACAGCTCTGAGGGAAAGCTCCTTGAGCTACTTACTGTCTGTTTTCTGCCTGACTCAATATTGTGCCAAGAGTGATTGTAATCCTAATAAGAAAAATGTCTCCCTCAAAGACACTTGAAACATACAGACACAAAACACAATAATAAATAGCAATTAAGAAATCATAAAAGAGAATGAAAAATTAAATAGCATCATTAAGAGTTTCCCTTTATGTGATAACATAAATTGATGTCTATAAACTTTTATATAGTAAATGTTTTTTGATAATAAAAAGGCAAAAAGCAAGTTTCATTAAATTTCATCATAATTAAAAAAATCACAAATTATATACATATGGCATGAATTATATTACAATATGTGAGGTATGGAATGTACTATAATTGTGTATAGCCTCTAGTTTATAAGAAGAATAAATAGCCTGGAATTCCAACAAAACATGCATTTAATTTAAATACTGAAAAGACATTTATAAATAAGAGAAAATGCAGTAATTCATTCTGTTTAAGAAACCGTGATTTAACATAGGTGGCTGAAATATTATTATTATAAATAACGTGGATTAAAATGCTATTTAGCAAGAGTAATTTCATTGAGATGATGATACTAGAGAATTAAGTTCAAAAGAAATGATATATTATTGGCTGAATATAAAGAACATATGCATATATATCTGTATATTCATATAAACTACTTTAAATATTTTTTGTAAATAGAAAGAATATAAATTACATGTAAAATAATGTCTATATGTGTTCATCTCCAAAATTAATATTACCTAATAAACATTTGTACATTTATTCCCTTAAATTGTATTACATAATAGATTTTCATAACTTTCTTTAGAAAGGTGTTCATTTACTGAAATGTGTGGACCTTTTAAGGAAGGCTTTTATTATGAGGAAACCCTGGTGGCGTAGTGGTTAAGTGCTACGGCTGCTAACCAGAGGGCCAGCAGTTCAAATCCACCAGGCGCTCCTTGGAAACCCTATGGGGCAGTTCTACTCTGTCCTATAGGATTGCTATGAGTTGGAATCAACTTGATAGCAATGGGTTTATTAACTCTTGGACCAACATTTTTCCTATTGTAAATTTTGAATATTTGTATTTTGGCAAAATGCCATATTGAGCTGATGTGGACATATTTCCCATTTCTTTCATTTTGCTTTTATCATATGCAGCATTTATCATATGTTGGATAAAATATAGAAGATAAATTTATAAACCTTACAATTCAGAAGAGAAAGGGAAATTCCTAGATATCATACCAAAGAAGGAAAAGCTAAGCATAAACTCAAGCAAATCTGACGAACTTTATAAACTAGAGTTGTAGAGTGGAGGTGAGGGGTGGGGTGGTAACTGGTTGTTGTCCTGATATGGGAAATAAGGTTTGAGATTTTAATGTCCTTGGTAGGATTTAAGACTAGGATATAAATCCATAGAGGCAAACTGGGACTGAACCCACTTAAGCTTGTTGTGTTGTGTGCCATTGAATCTGACTCATAGCAACAATATAGGACAGAGTAGAACTACCCCATAAGGTTGCCTAGGATGATGGGTTAGAACCACTGACAAGTCAGTTAGCAGCCCAGTACTTAACCATTGTGCCCCCAAGGCTCCTTCACTTAAGTTTGGACTCCTGAAATTCTCCCTGACTTTGAATAGGAGCCTACAGAAATCTCACCTTCAAGTCTGAAAAGGCAGCTAGAAAATTTTCTTTCTCCTTTGGGGGTCAGGGTGGGGAAATACTAGTGTCCTGTGAAGAATCAAATACCTAAACCATATGTGACATGGGTATGAAGTGAATTTTATTCTTCTTCTATGCTGGAATTTGCAATCCTATTTATTGTCTATGTCAGCTCCAGGATGAAATGGACCCTATGTATTTTCTTCATCATTTCACACATAAGTAAGTAGTAACATAAGTAAGTAAGAAGTAACACAGTAACTCACACATAAGATAGAAGGAAGGAAGGAAAAAAACTAAAAAATTATGAAGCTTTGACAGTTGCTTGCCTTATCTGCTTCATATTTCTTAATCTATGAAATGGTGATATTACATCTTTCTTGTTTAACTCTCAAAAGATGTAATTATAACAGTGATGCCCCATTCAAATATAAAGCATAATCATAAACAGCTTCTGGATTACATTTCTTTGTTTATTTATATTGCTTTTCACAAGTGGAGATACATTTCCATTCTTTTTCTGTAGTAGAATATTTATGGGGAGTGCTAACATTTCAGTTGATTTTCCATTTTCCTTCTCTTTTTCCATTTATGTACAGGAATAGTCATCTCCTTAACTGTTTAGGCTTGAAACTTAGGGTATTTCTAGAAAATCAAAAAACCAAACCCATTGCCATTGAGTTGATTCTGAGTCATAGTAACTCTATAGAACAAAGTAGAACTGCCCCACCAGGTTTCCAAGGAGCCGCTCTTGGATTTGAACTGCTGACCTTTTGGTTAATAGCCAAGCTCTTAATCACTGCACCACCAGGGCTCCATTTCTACAAAAGGCCTTCAATTTATATTTGATACTGAATATTATAAATATTAAAATTTTAGCATGAGAAGTACAGGAATTTATCTCTTACAGCAGCTCTAGTTGTTCAAATAATATTATGTTAAGCAATGTTTTGTATTAAAGACTAAGCTTGTGAAAGTGAAAACTAATTTTTACTTAATTTCCCCTCTCTCTATATATTTCTTTCTTTGTCCTACCAACTATTTATTTTCTGGCCAAGTCAAGATACTTGGAACAATGTCTTGACAGAGTAAGCGCTCAATGAATACTGTGAATTAACTAATTATCCTACCCTTTGTTAACTTATTTTAATACTAGGATGCATTAGAGTGAAGGTCGTAACAGAGAAAAACCTGTAATTGACTACAAACACCCATAAAACTGAGCATGACTGCAAAATTCCTGAAGCAATTATCACAAAAAACTAACTTAAATGTCTCTGGAGATAGTCCTGGTAACTTTGTCAATAGAATTCCCAGTTGACTAACAATCACAGTTAAACATGTACTGCTGAAGTTGTACCTAATTTATATTAAGGCAGCTTCATGAGAAAGAATACAAGGAAACTATTGTGACTCTATTTCTCTAGAGAGAGACTGTACTGAGGAAACTATAGCAAAAAGAAAATTGATGTCAGTCCAACAGCATCTGACTTCAGGAAACCAAAAATAAAGAACTTAGTAAGGCTTTTCTCATTCAACTATGTTTTGAGGGGAAAAGAGTACCAAGGAAAAAAAAAGGCAGCCATTATAAATATTTTTGTCAGATGGGTCATGACATATTTAACTAGACACTTAGCTAAATATATTCAACACAAATC